TCCATGAACGACAGGGGCAGTGCAATCGTCGGGTACAGTAGCGTCAGAAAAATGATGACACCGGCAAAGGCCACTTTGTACTTCTTTCCAAGCTCAAGGTACGCCACCAGCGCACTCTGCAGCGGCAGGAATATAATCAGCAGTATAACCAACCCAATACCAATCACAAAGCGGATCCTGGGTGGATTCTGGCGAAGATACACTGCCCTACGCGCCAGCCTCCGCTCCTTCTCCTCGATGCTGAGGTGGTTTTGCTCGTAGCCCGTCAGATGGTACGACGGAAGACGCAGAAAAAAGAAGGATACGGCACCAACAGCAAATACCAGTGCCATCAGGAAATAGAAGAAGTAATCAAGCCTTCCGTCAAAGAAGGCAAGCTGAATGCTTCCAACAATGGCAGCGCCGAGGCCAGTGAAGGTCTTCATTAAAGCAACAACGGCGCCCTTGTGTGATGGAAAGTAACTCATTACTGTCATAGCTGAAGCGAGATCAAACAAAGAGCATCCAATACCCACGAAGGCGTTGAATGCACTGAGACGAACAACAGAACCTTCAATAACGCCTTGGAACGTGAGTGCCAGGAGCAGCGCCCCAAGTGGGAAAAGAAGAGTGGCCAAAGCAATAGTCGGTTTCGGGCCAAAGTGGTCATAAACAATGGCATGCGGCAGGACGAAGTAACAAAACGCCAAGCCCACCGTGCCTATCGTCGACACGTCACGGCCGCTGAAGTTGTACCGCTTCTGCATTTCTCCTGAGATGAGATTGAATGCGTACGAGAAAGATGTACAGATGCAGCAAAACCCACCAAAGGTTAGCATTGCAAAACGACGGGGTTCACTGATGGGTTTTTGCGATCCAATGACGAGCCGTTCAACGAAGACAGCCTCCTCTCCATTCATCTTGTCTACGTATATATTTTGCTTTCAGGCGCAGGTCAGTTTGTTCTTCCTTCTTATGCTTCCACAGTGATGTGTGCGTGGGTCTGTGCTTGTATCACAGTGACGCCCTGCCCCACAAAAAAAAAAAAAGGTCACAAAGAGAATAAGCGGAATTGTACAACAGAACTAAGGGGCCAAGCTAACAGGAAAAGCATCGCAGCAGAGGGGGGTCCCCTCGACTCTGGCTCTTTATTTTCAAACGAAGTGGAAAAAGAGAATAGCTAAATGAAACGGGGAGTAAAGTTCTCTCCTTTGTCATGACATCGTTCATTTCCTTCGGTCTCATTCAGTTCCCTTCAAGCACTGATTTGGGATTGCTCTAAATATCCCAAAATACGTCTCGCAGCCTCCTTGCCCACAATAGGAAGGAACCGCAGGAAACGTGAAGAGAGGAAGGAGTAAAGAGAGTAGGAGGCAGGCGGACGATGGAGCCGAGAGAATAGCGGGCAACGCGGGTGCTAAGAAGCGGCGGCATCATCTGCGGCAGCCTCCACAACGCCATTGAAAGCAGTCATTGAAATGTGCGCGCCTATTCCCCAGCCGCGCTGGCATATGGCTCAGCCACCAGCGTCTCCCCAGTCCTCCTTCGCTGGCATACTAAAAACACTAATAGTGGAAAAGGCGAAACGGAATCGCTCCACCCACTTCCAGGCCTCCACGTCACACGCACATGGGGAAAGCATCGGAAGCAACAGGAAGGCAGGTGTGAACGGCAAACGAATGGGGGGGGACTCAGGGAGAGATGTCTTTGTAATATACGTTTTGGATTATTTATTTCATAGTCGCCACATTTCCCACGTTAAGGTTCGTTTGCATCCGGCACTTCGTTACTGACGTACAAAACGGAGCGTTAAAGGCAATCAATGGGTCAAATCAAAAAGTCAAAATGCTGACTCTTACCCCTCATCACTTGGTGTCTACAACAGAAGGGTGGTAAGCCTACACGCGATTACAGTAAGGTCATAAGTAAAAAAAAAAAAACGCAGAGAAAAACAGAAAGAATGTTGCGTGCGTACTCCGCCGTATGGAACTGACGAGCTGTCGGCCTTTGTTAATGGCACTTGTTGTCGCAGTTCAAGTCTTCAGCCAGTGGCACTTCTGCAGGACTGCTAGTGCGGGCCATCACATCCCGAAGTGCCTCCTCCTTCATGCGGCGCCGCTCCTCCAGCACCGTGCAGCTGAAACGGCGGTACTCCCAGTTCACGTAGATGATGGCAATGAACGCGGAGCAATTCAGGCCAAGGAACAAAAGCAGCGGCATCATTACACACTTCTGGCCCAAGCAGAGGGTCTGTCCCTGTTCATCCGCCACACGCGTGTACCACTCACCATAGGTGAGACGGTTCAGCAAAACTGTGGACACCACCGTTGCAACGAAGCAGAAGTTGTAGTGCTTCGCAGGATCCTTCGCAAATATGGTGCGAGTTACCAGCACAACAGCAGCTGCGCAGAAACCATTGCCCAGAGCTGCAGTAACGTAAGGAACGACCAGTGCTGACTTTGGAAGCACGAGGAAGAGCACCAGCGACAGAATCACGCACACCACAGGAAAGAGCAAGGAGATTGTAATGGGGATTCTATCCTCCGCCTTGCGCTTTTGCGACCAGACCTCAAAGTAGCTCATCAACAGACGGCCAACAGCACTGCCCACACCATTTATAACCGTCAACAGTGTACCAAGCGCGTTGCTGACGGGCTCACCAGCGATAGCAGCATAGATAAAGCGGGCGTTGAAAATAATAACGAACTCCGCGCCAACAATGCAAAAGAACAACCAGAGAAGGGCCCACATCTTCGCCGTCCGCAGGTTCTGTAAAAATGTTGTCTGGTACTGTGGTGCAATATAGTCGATGTCTGTCTCCACTGCTGCATTCGAATCTCCAGAGTCGCCTTCCGCAACAGGCTCTTTTTGCTCAGCGTCTCTGTCCGAGGCACCTCCAGCCTCCTCAAGCTCATTGAATTGTCTCTGCT